TAGTCAACTTGGGTAGTGGAATGCCATTTGTTAAACCTGCCATCTCTCTTGAGTTTTTACGCTCGATTCACACCCCTCACAAGACTTTTTAACACTCTTCTCTCGGGCTGGGTACACCAGGTCGGCTCACACACTCACCTCTCGCACACAAGCTCTGATGCCAATTTGTTAAGAATAAAAGGCATAAATTGGGAGTAAATAAACTCTCTGTATTCTCATTCATTTTGCAAATGAAATGTTACACTTATTTATAACAGAAAGAAAAAACTAACGTTTGCATCTTTAAATGTCACTCATAATTAACACCATTAATATTATTTAAGCAAAATAAAACTCCTAATTTAAGTTATTTTAATTTGAATAGTTATTTTAAGTTTATTGTGCTTTAATTTGCAGTATGCACAAGCATCTATTACACCATTGGCTGGTCCTTATTATGGAGTTAGTGGACAAAATAACATTTATAATCCAAGTGTTCAAAGAAAGGATCAAATCTCTGCTTCTCATTTATGGGTTCAAAATGGACCGATACACGCTGTTAATAAAATCACGTTTGGATGGCATGTGAGTTTCAATTGAGCGATTTATAGAAATTAATTACAACATCTGAAATTTGATTATATAAGAGAAAACTTACATGATAACCAGGAGCCTCTTTAGTCATGACAAAAATAGTACCTAATTAACCCCATGCATTAATATTAGGTGGATCCACAATTATATGGTGGTGATGAAGGAACTTATGTTTACGCAACATGGGTAAGAAAATATATATATTATTTTACATATGTTTCATCTTTACTTAGCTTATAAAGATGAAACACATGATATTTTTGTTTGTTTATATAAATATCTAATATTTTCAATTTTCTTTGAATTCTAGTTTAACTTAAAAACATGTTTCATTTCTTCAAAATTTAATGTGATGTTTAAAAAATGACACAGTCAAATAAACTCAAGAACGGAGGATGCTTCAATATATTATGTCCAGGTTTTGTTCAAACTCACAAAGGATACTATCTTGGTGGACGTGTGACCAAGACATCTACATATGGGGGAATAATGATTGAGTATAACCTTCTATTTATCGAAGGCTTATAGGGAGACTAATTTACTCAACTATTTCAAGACCTGACATAAGTTTCCCTGTTAACAAACTTAGTCAGTTCATGAAGGAGCCTCGCAGCATACACATGACGGTAGCCCATAATCTTCTCATATATCTGAAAGGCACTATAGGTCAAGGTCTTTTATTTCCCAGCACTTCAAAACTACAATTAACTGTTTACTTTGATGCAGATTGGGCAAGGTGTGAGGAATCTAGGAGATCTACCACTGGATATGCAGTCTTCTTGGGAGACTCTTTGATCTCATGGAAGTCAAAGAAACAACCTACTGTTTCTAAGTCTTCAACAGAAGCAGAATACAGATCTTTATCTGCAGGTGCTAGTGAAACAATTTGGTTACAACAACTCTTGACCGTTTTTGAAGTCGACATACCTTCTGCATATGTCCTTTGTGACAACATGAGTGATATATACTTAGCATCCAATCTTGTCCACCATGAAAGCACCAAGCACATTGACATAGATCATCATTTCATTTGAGAATTGGTTAACAAGAAGCAACTCAAAGTTCTTCATGTCAAGAGAGAACATCAAGTGGCAGATTTTTTCACAAAAGCTTTACCTGCACCCGTGTTTAAAATTTTTAGTAGCAAGTTAGGAATTCATAATATCTTTCTTCCTACTTGAGGTGGGGTATTACAGCCTATATTAATTCATTAGTTCTAGGACAGCGGTCAGTTATCTCTTGTATATATACCAGTGCTTTTCCTCTTAATAAAATATGATTTTCAGTTTCACAAATCTTGTTAGGTTTCTTTACTTAATAACGCTGGGAAGAACTCCCCAATTTATAGACTAGAAAAGCCATACTCTGCAAAAGGTGTATATTCCCAATACTCAGGCTAAATTTTCTCATGAATGACAAGATGATCTCTCCCTTCTCTCCCCTCTTCTTTGTAAGCAACCTACCATAAACTTAACTAAATTGTGGGTATCTACCAATCTCCTTTTATTCCCCTCCCCCTTCACTTTCTAAAACATTATTTAATATTTGAATCAAAAGAAGTATATGAAAGTATATATCTAGATTAGAACCCCGAACAGCATCATCTATAACAGGTCTAGATTTGGACAGATGCTCTGCCAATTCAAATTTTGCTGTCCAAATAAGGGCCTGTCTGTCTGATATAATGTTGTGACGTGAATCAGTTTAAGAACATAAAGAATGGGATTTAACCAGGTCATCTAGTTCAACCATCATAATAATAAAAGTGTTAATTCTGCCTCTTATGTAATTGTAAAGGAACTATGCTACTAATACTGTCATGAGGAAGTAAGAGATTGAATTAGCCACTTCAACCTGCCATCCCGAAATTTGATGGTCATTATGAGTTTTGGTCTATGACTATGGAAAGTTTCTTACGTAGCAAGGAGATGTGGCTGATTATTCAAGATGGAATACCGCTGTTAGGTACCCACCCAACTGAAGCTCAAGAAAAAGTTGTAGCTGACGTTACATTGAAGGACTTGAAG